TATAAAAGTCTCCTCGTCTAAGTCCCCCTGCTGAAATGCATGAAACTCTGCCTCTTTCTCATCTCTGAAAGCTGGCGGAAAGTGAAAATCATAAAATCTTTCTTTAAATTCATCCCAAGACATAGATCTTCCATCTGTGGGCTTAACAGAATCCCACCAATGCTTGGCTTCACCAACAAGCTGCATCGTAGCCAAGATAACCTCTGCTCAGATGTACACCTCACAACAGTAAATAACTGCTCCATCCGATCCAACCACTCCTCAGCTTTCCCATCAAGCATACTACCATCATATGTAGTCGGATTAGAGCGAGAGAATTCCTTCCAAGGTTCAGATATGTCATCCTCTCGATTATTAACAACTGGTGCATGAGCTCCCATAGTACTAGAAGATCCCTGCCCAGCACTTAGGTCAACATGCTGATCTGGAACAGTATGACTTCTAAGATTTTGCTGTATATCCACCATAACTTCAAGCAGCCTAGCCATGACTGCATCTGTCCCCTGTGGTGGTGGTGGAGGTGGAGGCGGAGGCGGAGGCGGAGGAGGTAGAGGTGGTGGTCGTTCCTCATTCCTCGATCTACCCCTTCCCCTTCGAGCCATATTAGAACTGAAAGGTGTACGGCCACAAGCGTACGGACCTTTCTCCCCTCCTAAAGGAACAAGCCAGAGAAAGAAAAACAATATTAGTCCAGGTTAGTGGTAGAAGGGAAAGAGCATAAAAGTAATGTATTTAAGGTGCCAAGTAGGAAAAAGGAATCATAAACCTAAAACTGATACCAAATGTAACACTTGCCTTGAGTGTTATCCAAAAATCACATAATTCAAACAAACTAAGTGTGGTTAAGGAGTTGATCCTCTAACCAACTTAAGAAATAAATCATTTAAAACCTTAAAAATAATTATAGGTTCTACCTATAGCGCACGGAAGCAAGTTAGACGAAAATGGAATAAAAAGATGCTGTCATGACAGTAATTTATTGCTGTCATGACAGCCCTCCTGGGCCAACTTCCAGGAGGCGGTGTTCCGTCATTCGACCTCCGATTGAAGTGATTTTAAAGCTCACACGTCACATTCAAAGGGTACTATAAGTGTACCAAATTTCAAAAAGATCCAACGGTCGGATTAAAAATTAGACATGTTAAAAGATTGACTATTTTTGCTGTCATGACAGCTAAAAAGCTGTCATGACAGCACTTCCGGACCAACTTCCGGAGTGCACCATTTCATCATCTGACCTCCGATCGGAGTGATTCCAAAGCCCACATGTCACTTTTAAAGAATACTATTAGCATACTAAATTTTGAAAAGATCCAACGGACGGATTGAATTTTGTGCAGGTTACAAAATCAACACTGTAGCTGTCATGACAGCAATTTAATGCTGTCATGACAGCACCTCCAGACCAAATTCCGGAGTGCGTCGTTTCTCCGTCCGATATCCGATCGACGTGATTCCAAAGCCCACACGAAGCTTATAAAAGGTTTTACTTGTGACCCAAATTTTAGAGAAATCCAACGGTCGGATTAAGATTTGGACACCCGGATGCAAAAGTGCAGCTTTTTGGTAAAAACCATTTTCAAAATTGTCCAAATCCCATCCTAATGGTCACAAACCTGTGGAAACACTTTGGACACGTCAAATAAGATTAAAAACACTTGATAGAACATTCAAATGATGGAAAACCCCCATACATCAAAATTTGACCACCCGGGTGCCATTTCCTAAAATGGACCCTAAACCCCCAAAATGCACAAATCATACAAGAGTGGTCACAAATCAATCCAAATACCATGTATTTATATAAATACATATGCTAAACATTTTCACTTGGCTCAGAGCTCCTTGTGGGGCCCACGCACCCACTCTCTCTATCCAAGCTGTATGTTTTCCCATAGCACACCATTTGCAATGCAACCACTTTGCATTTGCTTATAAAATCACATATATATCAAAATAAAGATCTGCTTGTAATAGAAACTTGGTCTACTAAGTAAATCCATCAAAACCACACACCATAACCAAGTTTCCTAGCCACAAGTCTGCAAACAGACAAAAATTCATACACAAGCACACAATCCACACATATTCACACACACACACATAATCATATCCTACTGGCACCCTAATCTTAAATACATTACAATATATTTGCTCAAAAGAAAGGGGTTGCAGTTCTTTACAAATCACAAGCAAACCCCTAGCTTTGCTCTTTTCCCCGTCCACCACTGGATCCTTCGCCTGGACCTAGAATATTGAAAAGAAAGGGGTGAGACAACCACAGTCTCAGTAACAGTGAAATCTATATTGATTATTACAAAGTAAGCCATAATCAAATAAATGAATAATAAATTCAACATAGTATATAATTTAGCCATTTAAAATGCATGAATGCATGACCTAGGCCGGTATGGCCTTTCATGACCAACAGAATGCCCCCTGGCACTCTTTAACTCGCAGGTAAACCTTATACCTACTTGTACCTCCACAGGCACAAAACATAATCTAAGGCATGATCTAATCCACCGAACCGCCTATGCCCCTTCGACGTGAATCCTGAGCAGTCAAAGCTAACTCCCTCCCAGAGCCAGCCCGACTTACTCTCCATGTGAGGGCTACCTTGGCCTAGGCACTCAACCTCACACTTCATATGTCGGATTCCCTCCCCCACTGAGAGGTGTCGAACACTCAATACACTAACCACTTTAGTGCACTGAGCCCACAATACGTAAGACAACACTGAGTACTGACAGTGTGCCATAGAATATCAAAAATCCACACCTTCTCATTGGTGAACTCCCACCGAGATCATGCCTTTTACTCTTGTCTACCTTTCCTGAGTATTGACCATTCAACACTCTAAAGTAGTATAATATTTATAAATCTCATTTCCATAAAAACATTGTTATTAAACAATTAGAAAACATATTTGCACTATAATCAAAGTAGTACCCCATAACCCCTTATAAAGCACATTTAATCTTTTAAAACATGTAATGCATGATAACTAGTAATATTTATTCAAAAATAGCTAAAACAAAGTAATAAGAAATATAAATTCCCCTGTTACCTCAACCCTTTGGTACTAAAAGGGTTCCCCTTGTACAAAATAGGGCTCGGCTTGTTCCTTACTTCTCAATAAGTTCCACCAACAATTTTCTACAACATATAAGTGATCCACATCACTTATCATGACAAATAGTATTAATGAAGACTATAACTTATACCACACAACTTAGGTCAATGAGTCATAATCCACCCTAATGGTCCATATATTAAACCAACCATTCACATAGTATCACTTAACCACCAAAACCATTTATTAGCCATCACTAGGCTAATTTTCAATTTATATAATTTTTTATCAATTAAAAACCTTCACTTAGTGTCACCAACTTTCACCATTAGCCCTTATAATGAAAACCAAACCTTAATTTAAATCTTATTGGGCTCAAATAGCAAAATTATAACTAAATCAATAAGCTTAAACCATTGAAGAGCAAAAACCCAATTTCTCAGGTTTATTTTGTGCCCAAAACACCTCTTTTCATCCAATTATCCACTCAAAATATTAGATCACTATATAGAAACTCAAAACATGCTCCCTAGGATCCAAAGAAACAAAAGCTTACAAGAATAAAGCCTTTGGGATCAAAATCCAAAAATTTCCTCTTCCAAAAATTGAAGAAAATCAAGAGAAAGAGAAGAGGATTGAAGTAGGGAGTTTACCTATCGTGTAGCCGAGCTCGCAACGGTCGCAAAGACTCCTAGATCCAAGCCTAACTCCCTCCCTTTCTCTTTCTTCTTCCTCTCTCTCTCTCTCTCTCTCTCACGTGTTTCCTTTCTTTCCTTGTTTTCTTTTCTGCGTTCTGGTCTGGTTTTTCATCTTATAAAAGCTGATTTAAAAGTTTGGGGAAAATTACAAGAAATGGCCCAACATTTTTTATTATTGCACAAAAGCCCGGGTCAACTTTGGTAATTTTTCCCATAGTTAAAAATCAAATAAAACTAAACTTTTGCTTAGTAAAATTCAAACTCTGGACCTCTATCAAATTATTCTAAATTTTAATTTAATTATAGATATTTTATTTTATTTTTATTTATTTTTTTAAATAAATTTGAGTCTTAAAATTTTTAGGATGTTACATTCTCCCCTCCTTTAAAAAGGATTTTGTCCCCAAAATCCAAGCTAATACATGAACCAAAGAGATAAACATACCTAGGGAAACAACTGTGGATATTCCTTCCTCATTTGATCCTCAGTCTCCCAGGTTGCATCTCCCGGAGCTGTCCCTTTCCAAATCACTTTTACCAACCGGATTGTCTTATTTCTAAGTTGCTTATCCTTAGCATCCACAATACGATCTGGTTCAGTCCGGTAGGTTAAATTCTCTTGAATTTCAACCTCCTCAGGTTTTATCACATGCGACGGGTCTGGCTGGTACTTCTTCAATTGTGACACATGAAACACGTTGTGTAGACCCGCTAACTGAGGCGGTAATGCCAACTGATAAGCCACCGGCCCAACTTTCTTCAAAACCTCAAAAGGACCCATATATCGAGGAGATAACTTTTTAGCCCGAATTGAGCGTCCAACGCCCGTCAATGGGGAAACTTTGAGAAAGACATGATCCCCAACCTCAAAAGACAAGTCCTTACGACGATTATCTGCATAACTTTTCTGTCTACTCTGTGCTGTAAGAAGTTTTTGTTGGATCAATTTGATTTTCTCTGTGGTCTCATCTACCACATCCGGTCCCATCATTGTCCTCTCACTCAACTCATACCAACAAAGAGGCGATCTGCATCGTCTTCCATACAATGCTTCATAAGGAGCCATTTGAATACTGGCATGATAACTGTTATTATAAGCAAACTCTGCCAGAGGTAAATGCTTATCCCAGCTTCCCTGAAGCTCTAGGGCACACGACCTCAACATATCCTCTAATGTCTGGATCGTCCGCTCAGTTTGTCCATCCGTTTGTGGATGATAAGACGTACTAAACTTCAGATCTGTGCCCATAGCCTTTGCATAGCTTGCCATAAATTCGATGTAAACCGAGGATCACGGTCTGAAACAATATCCCTCGGTACCCCATGTAGTCGCACAATCTCCTTAATGTAGATCTCAGCATACCTATCAACCGTATAGGTGGTCTTGACCGGTAAGAAATGTGCTGACTTAGTCAAACGATCTACAATTACCCAGATAGAGTCAAAACTAGCCTGGGTCCTCGGCAAACCAGACACAAAATCCATTGAAATACTCTCCCATTTCCATTTAGGAATCTCCAAAGGCTGTAATAACCCCGATGGCTTTTGGTGCTCTATTTTGACCTTCTGACAGGTCAAACACTTACTAACATACTCTGTGACATCCTTTTTCATGCCTGGCCACCACCAATGACGCTGCATGTCATGATACATCTTAGTAGCACCGGGATGAAGGGTGTAGCTACTTCGATGTGCCTCATCCAACAATTTCTTCCGAATAGACTCATTGTTAGGAATACACACCCTATCCTTGAAAACCACATACCCATCATCACTAAACCAATAGTCCATTATCTCACCATTCTCGATGTCTTGACTTATTTTTGACAAAATCGGATCTTGAAGCTGAGCATCTCGTATCTCTTTCCAAAATTCATTAGAAATAACCATAGTATTAAGACCATTCAAAGAGAACTTAGTCATACCCAAAAAGTTTCAACCAAAGATTCCATCAATCTATGCTCCCGAACCATTAAATAGGCTACATGTAAGGTCTTGCGACTAAGAGCATCTGCTACCACATTTGCTTTCCCGGATGATACTTAAATTCAAAATTATAATCTTTTAGAAACTCCATCCAACGTCTCTGTCTCATATTCAGCTCTTTTTGATCCACCAGGTACTTGAGACTTTTATGGTCGCTCATGACCCTGAACTCTGTTCCATAAAGATAATGACGCCAGATCTTTAACGCAAAGACCACCGCAGCCAACTCGAGATCATGTGTTGGATAATTCTCCTCATGCGGTCTAAGTTGTCTAGATGCATATGCCACTGCTCTCTCATCTTGCATTAGAACACAACCAAGACCCTTATGAGAGGCATCAGTATACACATCATAGGGCTTTTGAGGATCCGAAATCACCAACACTGGAGCTGTTGTTAACCTTTCTTTCAACTCAAGAAAAGCTGTCTCGCACTTATCATCCCAGATAAATGGCCTATCCTTCCTTGTGAGTCTAGTCAAAGGCATAGAAATCTGAGAGAAACCTTTGATAAAACGCCGGTAGTAACCTGCTAATCCCAGAAAACTACGGATCTCAGTTATCGATTTTGGTCTCTCCCATTGCATGACTGCTTCAACTTTATATGGATCAACTGCAATACCATTTGCCGACACGATATGTCCCAAGAACCTAACCTCTCTCATCCAAAACTCGCACTTACTGAGCTTGGCATATAGCTTATGATCTCGCAGAAACCTTAGGACAGTCCTCAAGTGTCTGGCATGCTGCTCCTCATCTTTAGAGTAGATCAGTATATCGTCAATAAAAACTACCACAAACTGATCCAAGAAAGGTCGAAAAATGCGGTTCATATAGTCCATGAAAACCGCAGGCGCATTAGTCAGCCCGAATGGCATAACCAAAAACTCATAATGACCATATCGAGTCCTGAAAGCAGTCTTTGCCACATCCTTCTCACTAACCCTCAGCTGATGGTACCCTGAACGTAAATCAATCTTAGAGAAAATCGTGGCACCAACCAACTGATCTAAGAGATCATCGATGCGAGGCAGTGGGTACTTGTTCTTCACCGTAACCTTATTCAACTGCCTGTAATCGATACACAATCTTAAACTACCATCCTTCTTCTTCACAAATAAGACAGGAGATCCCCAAGGAGAAACACTAGGTCTAATAAATCCCTTATCTAACAGCTCCTCAAGTTGCTTCTTCAACTCAGCTAACTCTGAAGGAGCCATTCTATAGGGAGCCTTTGAAATTGGCTGAGTCCCCGGTACCAGGTCAATTGAGAATTCAACCTCACGTTCTGGAGGTAATCCTGATACATCCTCAGAAAACACCTCTGGGAACTCCCTAACAACCTCAATTTCATCCACTATACCTGTCTCAGACCCTTGGGTAGCGAGCACTACCACGTAAGCCTCACATCCCTGCTCAATCAACCTTTCAACTTGTAAAGAAGAAAGAAAACAAGAATGACCAGGGTATTCTTTGATCACCTCCGGTACTTCTACCAAAGTCACTGTCTTAGTCACACAATCTAAGACAGCACCATAAGCTGTCAACCAATCCATACCAATAATTAAATCAATCCCTTGCATAGGTAATTTGATCATATTCACCCAAGTCGATCGCCCATTAAAAGTCATCTTAGTCCTACACACCACACTGGATCGACCAACCAAACCAGAAGTAGAGGAAACTTCTATATCATGGGGCAACTGGTCAACAGGCATAGCCATTCTATCTAAGCGCTCGGCAGAAATAAAAGAATGAGTCGCACCACAATCAAACAAAGCTTCTAAATCGAGGCCACAGATAGAAACCATACCAGTGATTAGATTCGATGACTTCCTAGCCTCCTCCTGAGATACTGTATACACTCTACCAGGAATCACGTTCCTCCGGTCCGAGCTCTCATGTAAATCAGGGCAGTCACGGATCAAATGGCCTAACTTTCCACACTTGTAGCAAGCAAAACAGCGACCAAAATGAACCCTACCACATCTATTGCAAGGTGACCTCGCTGTGCTTAGAATTGGGGCTTGACTGGTTTGTGAAGAACGTGCTGGAGCATTCCCAGAGAAACGAGAACTCCCAGATCTCATATTACCACCCCGATTACCTTGAAATGTTGAACCCCTATTTAAATTTCGATTACCAGAAGCAGAAGAAGACCCGATTCTAAAGGAGCCACTAGAAGAAGAACCAGAGCTAAAACCCATTCTCTTAGATACACCACCAGTAGGAGCTAACCCAAAAGAAAATCGACCTCGTGTATCCCTACTCCGGCTACTCTCTGTGTCTTGGCCTCGACGAGCGGCAATCCTCAGACGATTGCACATCTCATCATATGTCGCCTCGCCTAACAAAGATAGCTGCTGGCGGTATTCTGGCCTCATCTTTTCTAATAACCTCTTTGCTTTCCACTTGCTATCATTAGAAGCCTTTAGATATGTTGAGAACTTAGACAGCTGATTGAATTTTCTTATAAAAGTCTCCTCGTCTAAGTCCCCCTGCTGAAATGCATGAAACTCTGCCTCTTTCTCATCTCTGAAAGCTGGCGGAAAGTGAAAATCATAAAATCTTTCTTTAAATTCATCCCAAGACATAGATCTTCCATCTGTGGGCTTAACAGAATCCCACCAATGCTTGGCTTCACCAACAAGCTGCATCGTAGCCAAGATAACCCTCTGCTCAGATGTACACCTCACAACAGTAAATAACTGCTCCATCCGATCCAACCACTCATCAGCTTTCCCATCAAGCATACTACCATCATATGTGGTCGGATTAGAACGAGAGAATTCCTTCCAAGGTTCGGATATGTCATCCTCTCGATTATTAGCAACTGGTGCATGAGCTCCTATAGTACTAGAAGATCCCTGCCCAGCACTTAGGTCAACATGCTGATTTGAAACAGTATGACTTCTAAGATTTTGCTGTATATCTACCATAACTTCAAGCAGCCTAGCCATGACTGCATCCGTCCCCTGTGGTGGTGGTGGAGGTGGAGGTGGAGGCGGAGGCGGAGGAGGTAGAGGTGGTGGTCGTTCCTCATTCCTCGATCTACCCCTTCCCCTTCAAGCCATATTAGAACTGAAAGGTGTACGGCCGCAAGCGTACGGACCTTTCTCCCCTCCTAAAGGAACAAGCCAAGAAAGAAAAACAATATTAGTCCAGGTTAGTGGTAGAAGGGAAAGAGCATAAAAGTAATGTATTTAAGGTGCCAAGTAGGAAAAAGGAATCATAAACCTAAAACTGATACCAAATGTAACACTAGCCTTGAGTGTTATCCAAAAATCACATAATTCAAACAAACTAAGTGTGGTTAAGGAGTTGATCCTCTAACCAACTTAAGAAATAAATCATTTAAAACCTTAAAAATAATTATAGGTTCTACCTATAGCGCACGGAAGCAAGTTAGACGAAAATGGAATAAAAAGATGCTGTCATGACAGTAATTTATTGCTGTCATGACAGCCCTCCTGGGCCAACTTCCAGGAGGCGGTGTTCCGTCATTTGACCTCCGATTGAAGTGATTTTAAAGCTCACACGTCACATTCAAAGGGTACTATAAGTGTACCAAATTTCAAAAAGATCCAACGGTCGGATTAAAAATTAGACATGTTAAAAGATTGACTATTTTTGCTGTCATGACAGCTAAAAAGCTGTCATGACAGCACTTCCGGACCAACTTCCGGAGTGCACCATTTCATCATCTGACCTCCGATCGGAGTGATTCCAAAGCCCACATATCTCTTTTAAAGAATACTATTAGCATACTAAATTTTGAAAAGATCCAACGGACGGATTGAATTTTGTGCAGGTTACAAAATCAACACTGTAGCTGTCATGACAGCAATTTAATGCTGTCATGACAGCACCTCCAGACCAAATTTCGGAGTGCGTCATTTCTCCGTCCGATATCCGATCGACGTGATTCCAAAGCCCACACGAAGCTTATAAAAGGTTTTACTTGTGACCCAAATTTTAGAGAAATCCAACGGTCGGATTAAGATTTGGACACCCGGATGTAAAAGTGCAGCTTTTTGGTAAAAACCATTTTCAAAATTGTCCAAATCCCATCCTAATGGTCACAAACCTGTGGAAATACTTTGGACACGTCAAATAAGATTAAAAACACTTGATAGAACATTCAAATGATGGAAAACCCCCATACATCAAAATTTGACCACCCGGGTGCCATTTCCTAAAATGGACCCTAAACCCCCAAAATGTACAAATCATACAAGAGTGGTCACAAATCAATCCAAATACCATGTATTTATATAAATACATATGCTAAACATCTTCACTTGGCTCAGAGCTCCTTGTGGGGCCCACGCACCCACTCTCTCTATCCAAGCTGTATGTTTTCCCATAGCACACCATTTGCAATGCAACCACTTTGCATTTGCTTATAAAATCACATATATATCAAAATAAAGATCTGCTTGTAATAGAAACTTGGTCTACTAAGTAAATCCATCAAAACCACACACCATAACCAAGTTTCCTAGCCACAAGTCTGCAAACAGACAAAAATTCATACACAAGCACACAATCCACACATATTCACACACACACACACATAATCATATCCTACTGGCACCCTAATCTTAAATACATTACAATATATTTGCTCAAAAGAAAGGGGTTGCAGTTCTTTACAAATCACAAGCAAACCCCTAGCTTTGCTCTTTTCCCCGTCCACCACTGGATCCTTCGCCTGGACCTAGAATATTGAAAAGAAAGGGGTGAGACAACCACAGTCTCAGTAACAGTGAAATCTATATTGATTATTACAAAGTAAGCCATAATCAAATAAATGAATAATAAATTCAACATAGTATATAATTTAGCCATTTAAAATGCATGAATGCATGACCGAGGCCGGTATGGCCTTTCATGACCAACAGAATGCCCCCTAGCACTCTTTAACTCGCAGGTAAACCTTATACCTACTTGTACCTCCACAGGCACAAAACATAATCTAAGGCATGATCTAATCCACCGAACCGCCTATGCCCCTTCGACGTGAATCCTGAGCAGTCAAAGCTAACTCCCTCCCAGAGCCAGCCCGACTTACTCTCCATGTGAGGGCTACCTTGGCCTAGGCACTCAACCTCACACTTCATATGTCGGATTCCCTCCCCCACTGAGAGGTGTCGAACACTCAATACACTAACCACTTTAGTGCACTGAGCCCACAATACGTAAGACAACACTGAGTACTGACAGCTCAGAAGCACCGATACGCGAAAATGGCCGGCGTGTCCGTATCGGATACGTATCCGACACGGACACGCGTTCAGGACGGGGGAACGGCGCGTCCCTTTTCCCAGTTTCTGGCGGACGCGGGCAGATGCGGGTCGAGACGGGTTGACGCGGGTCGGACGCGGGCTGACGCAAAACTCTGCATTTTTCACCTCTTTTTACTCAGTCCCAACTCCAGAAACCCGATGCCCTAAGATTTTCAGCTCCAATCGACCCCCTTCTCGTGTTTTCCACTCTGTCGCTCATTGCCTGTGTCGACCGCTGTATCGCTCTGAGTCAGACGCGTTTTCACTTCTCACTTCGCACGCTGCCTCACTCTCACGTCTTCGACCTCATCATTCTTCAGTCTTCAGTCTTCAGCTTCAATCTTGATAATTCATTCAGCTTCAATCTGAGCTCTGCCTCAGCGTCTTTGACCTCATCTCTATCTCTTCTGCTTTTCACTTTTTTATTGTTCAATGTTGTGCTGCTGCCTGATGGATATTTATTGGGATTATTGCATTGCTGGACAATGAATATTTATTGCTCAGTTCTTCACTGCTGAACCGAGAGAGGCAGAACAACTAATCAGTTTTTTAAATTTAATACTGAATTATTAAATTTTTTTTATTTTGATGGATTATTTTATTGAGTTAAACATTGATTTATTTTTAATTTTTATTGACTCTCTTTATGTTAAAATTTTTATTAGAATTATTTTAAGTTGATAATTATTTTTTGCCACTTGATAGTATTTAAGTACTTAGCTATTTGTTGTATTATATTTTATGATGGCATTAGACATCTTGAAATTGTATTTTTAAACATTCAAATATTTAATATTTAATTATTTATATAGCCGTACCCGTATCCTAAAATTTTAAAAAATAGCCGTGTCCGCGTATCGTATCGTATCGTACCCGACACTCGTACCCGTATCGGTGCTTCTTAGACTGACAGTGTGCCATAGAATATCAAAAATCCACACCTTCTCATTGGTGAACTCCCACCGAGATCATGCCTTTTACTCTTGTCTACCTTTCCTGAGTATTGACCATTCAACACTCTAAAGTAGTATAATATTTATAAATCTCATTTCCATAAAAACATTGTTATTAAACAATTAGAAAACATATTTGCACTATAATCAAAGTAGTACCCCATAACCCCTTATAAAGCACATTTATTCTTTTAAAACATGTAATGCATGATAACTAGTAATATTTATTCAAAAATAGCTAAAACAAAGTAATAAGAAATATAAATTCCCCTGTTACCTCAACCCTTTGGTACTAAAAGGGTTCCCCTTGTACAAAATAGGGCTCGGCTTGTTCCTTACTTCTCAATAAGTTCCACCAACAATTTTCTACAACATATAAGTGATCCACATCACTTATCATGACAAATAGTATTAATGAAGACTATAACTTATACCACACAACTTAGGTCAATGAGTCATAATCCACCCTAATGGTCCATATATTAAACCAACCATTCACATAGTATCACTTAACCACCAAAACCATTTATTAGCCATTACTAGGCTAATTTTCAATTTATATAATTTTTTATCAATTAAAAACCTTCACTTAGTGTCACCAACTTTCACCATTAGCCCTTATAATGAAAACCAAACCTTAATTTAAATCTTATTGGGTTCAAATAGCAAAATTATAACTAAATCAATAAGCTTAAACCATTGAAGAGCAAAAACCCAATTTCTCAGGATTTATTTTGTGTCCAAAACACCTCTTTTCATCTAATTATCCACTCAAAATATTAGATCACTATATAGAAACTCAAAACATGCTCCCTAGGATCCAAAGAAACAAAAGCTTACAAGAATAAAGCCTTTGGAATCAAAATCCAAAAATCTCCTCTTCTAAAAATTGAAGAAAATCAAGAGAAAGAGAAGAGGATTGAAGTAGGGAGTTTACCTATCGTGTAGCCGAGCTCGCAACGGTCACAAAGACTCCTAGATCCGAGCCTAACTCCCTCTCTTTCTCCTTTCTTCTTCCTCTCTCTCTCTCTCTCTCTCTCACGTGTTTCCTTTCTTTCCTTGTTTTCTTTTCTGCGTTCTGGTCTGGTTTTTCATCTTATAAAAGCTGATTTAAAAGTTTGGGGAAAATTACAAGAAATGGCCCAACATTTTTTATTATTGCACAAAAGCCCGGGTCAACTTTGGTAATTTTTCCTATAGTTAAAAATCAAATAAAACTAAACTTTTGCTTAGTAAAATTCAAACTCTGGACCTCTATCAAATTATTCTAAATTTTAATTTAATTATAGATATTTTATTTTATTTTTATTTATTTTTTTAAATAAATTTGAGTTTTAAAATTTTTAGGATGTTACACCACGCTTGCTATTTGTTCTCATAAAGCCCTCCTAAATCTAAACTTAAAATTCATTATTTTTATATTATTTTTTTAAAAGCATTCTACCTAGTCATACTATTGCTTGAAATTTTTATATTTTATGAACATTATAAATTTTGATAAATTGTTTTGTCCTATTAACATTGTTCAAATTCATGATTGTATCATTGAGAAAATGTATTGTTTATTATTATTCGTTTTAGTTAATGGTTCATTATTTCAAAATTTTTAAATTAAATTTATTCATTAAGGTCTTTATATATTTATATACATATATATAATTGGAACGCTATTGACCAGTAATTTCTTTGGTTTTAGATAGTGTAGCTAACTCTACGCCTTCAGCGGATCATTAAGAGGCCATTTGCCTTTTTGGGAAAGAGAAGTCATATTGCGATTATTGTTTTGGTAAAATTATGTATTGTATTTTGTAATCATAACTTAGTATTTCACATATACCATAGTTAGCTCCTAATCTTATTTTGTTATTATGTAAATTGCTAGAAAGGAGCTAGTCTCTTTGTTGGTCTGGTTGATAGGTGCTATTATTGTTGTGAAAATTTTAAGAGGTTTGAGTTATAGGGGAAATTTTGTCAAAATTTTTATAAAATATTTAAGACTTTACAAACTTTATTATTATATATAACTTACATATATTAATATTTTAACATAATTTCTAGTTATTAAGGCTTATGGAATATGAATTTTCCTCATATTCCATGATGGCCATTGTAACACTTGCCCCGAGTGTTATCCAAAAATCACACAATTCAAATAAACTAAGTGTGGTTAAGGAATTAATCCTAAAACCAACTTAGGAAACAAATCATTTAAATCACTAAACAAATATACAATTGCAAAGTAAACATTTAAAGCCTTTGAAAAAAATTTATAGGTTCTACCCATAGCACGCGGAAGCAAGCTAGATGAAAGTGAAATAAAAAGATGCTGTCATGACAGCATTTAAATTGCTGTCATAACAGCCCTCCCAGGTCAACTTCTGGGAGGCGCCGTTCCGCCATCCGACCTCCGATCGAAGTGATTTTAAAGCTCACACGTCACCTTCAAAGGGTACTATAAGTATACCAAATTTCAAAAACATCCAACAGTCAGATTAAAAATTGGACATGTTATAAATTTGGTTACTTTTGCTGTCATGATAGCTAAAAAGCTGTCATGACAGCACTTCCGGACCAACTTCCGGAGTGCACCACTTCATCATCCGACCTCCGATCGGAGTGATTCCAAAGCCCACATGTCACTTTTAAAGAATACTATTAGTATACTAAATTTTGAAAAGATCCAACGGACGGATTGAATTTTATGCAGGTTATAACATCAACACTGTAGCTATCATGACAGCAATTTAATGCTGTCATGATAGCACCTCCAGACCAAATTCCGGAGTGCATCGTTTCTCCGTTCGATATCCGATCGATGTGATTCTAAATCCCACACGAAGCTTATAAAAGGTTTTACTTGTGACCCAAATTTTAGAGAAATCCAACGGTCGGATTAAGATTTGGACACCCGGATGCAAAAGTGCAGTTTTTTGGTAAAAACCATTTTCAAAATTGTCCAAATCTCATCCTAATGGTCACAAACCTGTGGGAACACTTTGGACACATCAAATAAGACTAAAAACACCTGATAGAATATTCAAATGATGGAAAAATCCCATATATCAAAATTTGACCACCCGGGTGCCATTTCCCAAAATGGACCCTAAACCCCCAAAATGCACAAATCATACAAGAGTGGTCACAAATCAATCTAAATACCATGTATTTATATAAATACATATGCTAAACATTTTCACTTGGCTCAGAGCTCCTTGTGGGGCCCACGCATCCACTCTCTCTATCCAAGGTGTATGTTTGCCCATAGGACACCATTTACAATGCAACCACTTTGCATTTGCTTATAAAATCACATATATATCAAAATAAATATCTGATTATAATAGAAACTTGGTCTACTAATTAAATCCATCAAAACTACACACCATAACCAAGTTTCCTAGCCACAAGTCTGCAAACAGACAAAAATTCATACACAAGCACACAATCCACACATATTCACACACATATACATAATCATATCCTACTGGCACCCTAATCTTAAATACATTACAATATATTTGCTCAAAAGAAAGGGGTTGCAGTTCTTTACAAATCACAAGCAAACCCCTAGCTTTGTTTCTTTCCCCGTCCACCACTGGATCCTTCGCCTGGACCTAGAATATTGAAAAGAAAGGGGTGAGACAACCACAGTCTCAGTAACAGTGAAATCTACATTGATTATTACAAAGTAAGCCATAATCAAATAAACGAATAATAAATTCAACATAGTATATAATTTAGCCATTTAAAATGCATGAATGCATGACCTAGGCCGGTATGGCCTTTCATGACCAACAGAATGCCTCCTAGCACTCTTTAACTTGCAGGTAAATCTTATACCTACTTGTACCTCCACAGGCATAAAACATAATCTAAGGCATGATCTAATCCACCGAACCGCCTATGCCCCTTCGACGTGAATCCTGAGCAGTCAAAGCTAACTCCCTCCCAGAGCCAGCCCGACTTACTCTCCATGTGAGGGCTACCTTGGCCTAGGCACTCAACCTCACACTTCATATGTCGGATTCCCTCCCCCACTGAGAGGTGTCGAACACTCAATACACTAACCACTTTAGTGCACTGAGCCCACAATACGTAAGACAACACTGAGTACTGACAGTGTGCCATAGAATATCAAAAATCCACACCTTCTCATTGGTGAACTCCCACCGAGATCATGCCTTTTACTCTTGTCTACCTTTCCTGAGTATTGACCATTCAACACTCTAAAGTAGTATAATATTTATAAATCTCATTTCCATAAAAACATTGTTATTAAACAATTAGAAAACATATTTGCACTATAATCAAAGTAGTACCCCATAACCCCTTATAAAGCACATTTATTCTTTTAAAACATGTAATGCATGATAACTAGTAATATTTATTCAAAAATAGCTAAAACAAAGTAATAAGAAATATAAATTCCCCTGTTACCTCAACCCTTTGGTACCAAAAGGGTTCCCCTTGTACAAAATAGGGCTCAGCTTGTTCCTTACTTCTCAATAAGTTCCACCAACAATTTTCTACAACATATAAGTGATCCACATCACTTATCATGACAAATAGTATTAATGAAGACTATAACTCATACCACACAATTTAGGTCAATGAGTCATAATCCACCCTAATGGTCCATATATTAAACCAACCATTCACATAGTATCACTTAATCACCAAAACCATTTATTAGCCATCACTAGGCTAATTTTCAATTTATATAATTTTTTAATCAATTAAAAACCTTTACTTAGTGCCACCAACTTTCACCATTAGCCCTTATAATGAAAACCAAACCTTAATTTAAATCTTATTGGGCTCAAATAGCAAAATTATAACTAAATCAATAGGCTTAAATCATTGAGGAGGAAGAACCCAATTTCTCAAGGTTTATTTTGTGCCCAAAACACCTCTTTTCATCCAATTATTCACTCAAAATATTATATCACTATATAGAAACTCAAAACATGCTCCCTAGGATCCAAAGAAACAAAAGCTTACAAGAATAAAGCCTTTAGGATCAAAATCTAAAAATCTCCTCTTCCAAAAATTGAAGAAAATCAAGAGAAAGGGAAGAGGATTGAAGTAGGGAGTTTACCTATCATTTAGCCGAGCTCGCAACGGTCGCAAAGACTCCTAGATCCAAGCCTAATTCCCTCCCTTTCTCTTCTCTTTTTCCTCTCTCTCTCTCTCCCGTTTGTGCGTTTCTTTCCTTGCTCATTTTCTCTACGTTTCTAGTCTGTTTTGCTGTTTAAAATTGATGCTAAAACATTTTGGGGCAAATTACAAGAAAGGACCCAACATTTTTTATTATTGCACAAAAGCCCGAGTCAACTTTGGTAATTTTTTCCATAGTTAAAAATCAAATAAAACTAAACTTTTGCTTAGTAAAATTCAAACTTTGAGCCTCTATTAAATTATTCTAAATTTTAATTTAATTATAGATATTTTATTTTATTTTTAAAATAAATTTGAGTCTTAAAATTTTTAGGATGTTACATTCTCTGACTCAATGGTACCAGGTTCAGCCTCAACTTCGCTATGTAGGAGAGGTTGGAGGATCGAACCTGAGAAGGCTCCCTTAGCGCAGTGGGTGCGGGGAATAACTCCTGAACTATCAGGAGGAAAGCCGGCTGGGTTGCCGCGAGGTGGTTACGGCCCAGTCCACCACTCGCAGCAGTGGGCTCGGGGGGGTGTGACTATTACAGCCATACCCTTAGTTTTGGAATGTGACACAATATTAAATGGTTTTCCAAAATAACTGTATAATATTGTGATCAATTTTTTTTCCTATTCTTTTTACGTTTTTATTAGCCCTCTTGCATTGAACATTTATAAAATACAATTCCAGCACCCAAAACAAAATTTCAACATCTAACAATAATTCTATACATGAAATTTACATTATGAATTCTTACACAAATTATATAAAATTTGATGTTGTTTGTAACTTAAAACAATTAATGGCCAAAATAAAGCTCTAAATCCCAAAAAGTTAGTAAAGTATACCTATATCTATGTCAACTTTAAATATATACTTATATGATGTATTTCTTCACTATTACTGGTTGTTATAGCTAAACCATGTTTGAAAAATACTGCGTGCTAACTCTTCAAGGACTTCTTTCATTTAAGCCTTAGTATATATGTCACAGTAAGTGTCCTCGTAGTACTAATCAATGCAAAAACAACAACAAATTAAATTCATGTTAATTAATAAAAATAATATAATGATTATAATATTAACAATATACATACATTGTCTGAAAGAGTTCTTGCAGGAGGATGTTGGATTATATACTTCATAAACTTCATGACAGCATACCCACAATCCTTGGCTTTGTCATGTTGTTTTGGGCATTACAATCACACAATGGATAAAAAAAACTAATCAATGACATAACATGACTTATAATTATGTTACTAACATAATTAATGATAATTAAATATGTATACCTTGATAACTATCTATGATGTCAACCATCTGTGATGTCTAAGGTACACATTCTTCATAACATGTTGCAACCTCACAGAATGTGTCTTCTTATAAATAAAGTATCCAAATTGTCCTTTGATGCTATAACCTGATAGATTTCCATATATTGAAAAGTCATTGATTATATTGAAAAGCATAGCTTCAAATTAAATATCTCTTCTTTGTGGGCATCATATATCTCCACACCCATCTCCCACAATAGCTTCAAGTCTTTAAGTAGTGGTTCCAAAACATCTATGTCATTCCCGGGTTGCTTAGGTCTCGAGATTAGCAATGATAATATGATATAC